CCTCAGTGCTGATCCCCCTCCAACTCTGGGAGTTATTGGAAGGGTCTGGCTAGGGTGGGAGATTGCAAGGGGGAGGGGATTATTGTTTAAATGGGACCCTGTTTCTAGCCTTAAGTCAGATGAGAGCCATTTTTGTTGCATTTGACATTTCAAAGAAAAGTAACAATGCTCTCAGAGAGCCTCTCTCTACAAAGCAGCTCATTATTGTAAATGTGGGCATGTTTAGACTGCTAAGGAGAACTATAAAAGAACAGCCTTTCCTGCAAGCTCCTTTGGCAGTAAACGCTGTCCTCAGGCCAGATATGCTTCTGGGCAGTCCGGGCTCCCAAAGCCTAAGTGGCAAGCTCGCCCGATGATGCCGAAATGAGGAAAGTGAAGTAGGAGTTATGAAGTAGAAATGTTCACGGTGAACATCATCTGCAAGGTCTTTTATGTTAAGGAAATCATGACACCTGCCAATCTTTCAAATTCCAAAGGGTAAAGCGTGAGGCCTAGTAGGCTGTCATTGAACATGACAAGCTTAATGCCAAGTTTATAACAGAAAAAGGGCAATCTTATTGTGGTTTATTCAGTTTCATGTTGCTAGTTCAGTAGGAAGGCTCTGTCTTTTCCTCCCTCTCTCCTTTTTTAAAAATCTAATTTATAGCATTTGAAATACCAAATGGATTCTTTACATATCTCCTGAGCTCCCACTTCCCTTCACTACCCCCAGTCTCTCCTTTAGGGAGCAACCCCTAAATCCTTCCAATTTAGCATCTTGGTGAGGCCAGACAATTGTTTTAGTTGAGCGTTTCCTTCCGTTGTTATAGAGCTGTTTCTAACTCCAAACATTTCTGTTTAATTACTGCTCAGACTGTTGCTCTATTTCCATCTAACCTGCCCCTCGCTTGAGCCCATTGGGCTGAAGAAAGAATTACTCCCCGCGCTGTTCCTTAGCCCTTCTTGTTCAGATCTGTAATTGGCCCTGTGTTTTTGACTTTTTGCTAATAAGCAGCTTACTTTCTCTCCCCCTAGACTCAACCCACCACTTTTGTTTCATGAATTTTACAAAGGATTTTAATAGATGCTTTAGGCTATGCAAAATGTTATATGAAGGGAAGCATTAATGCAACAGCCTTGACACAAAGGACGTGTGAATGGCTGCTTATCATTACAGTCAGGTCTCAAAATTTTCATTAGGAGTTCTGGAGGACAAAAGAGAAAAGCACAGCTATATGAAGGAATATTAACCTATACTGTATAACCAACTATAATTGCTTAGCATTTTACATTAACTCTCTTCAGACACAGCCTCTCATTATTTTTACACATACATAATAACTGCTTATTACAGCGGTATAGTTCATGCCAATACACAGTGGATAAGGCTGTGTCAGCACTTCCAATATAAGACCCACTTTCGTGGGTTTAAAACAGCTGTAAAATTTACCTCTAGACCAAAGATTGGTAATCAACTTTCCACATGGAGAGGGAGTTTCGTTTAAAGTTTTTTTTAAAGCACTTTCATTAAGAAAAAGTTTGCTTCTTTTAAATTAGGAACGTAAACAAAATGAATGAACACGCTTAAGATGTTTGCAAATTTCTAAATATGGAGATTTATTGAAGCCCTCTCTGAAATGTGCTTTTGATGATAGATATAAATAAATGAATTTTAAACAGGAGCAAATTAAATACCACATCCATATAGACTTCATGGAAAATAGTTATATTTCCAGTACATTGCATCTGAGGCAATGGTGGTTGGAACACAGCACATAATTTCAAGACATATAATCCATAGTTTTCATTGGAAAACAAATTAAAATACTTATCAAATGTAAGTGGGAGAGTTTGTAGAAAGTCATCCACTTACATAACAATACACAGGCTTTGAGAATTATTTTGAAATTTGGTTTTCTGAAAGTCTCTGAACAAACAAACTGGTGTTGACTAAGGGAAGAAGATAGAAATTCAGCAAAATAATTGTCCTTAACTGAGGCCTGTTAAGAGTAGGTGGTTGATTTGCCATTTGGAAAAATGGGCCCATTTGTGGAGATTTGCTCTTCTGGCAGAAGTAATCCTGAGCATGATATTGCTAAGCTTCACTGACTTTGTAAAATGCTCCAAAGTTTTTTTCAAATACCAAGATATAAAAGTGTTTTGAAGTCATACCGAAATAATGATGAGATATATCAGCCTTATACTTCCTAATCTTCCCAATCCATGTGTTATAAGTTAGTTTCATTCATCTCTAAACATGGAAACTATAAAATAAGCACATTGTTTCTCAAAGTTATCAGAGACTCTTCTAATGGGTGAATAAGAACTTAAATGAAAATTTTCTCTTTTTTTTCTGAAAATAAATTTATAAAAATATTTTGAAAATGATTTCAACCAGGGTGTTTCCATAGCAAAAATTGAAAATATAGTATATCCTTCAATACATTATTTTTATGAACAATAGATCCTATCTACCAAACACTAATGGGATACAATAGAACTTGTGTTCTCAATTCCCATTTAAGCTCCTACTCTTTTCATCTGCTTTTCTCACCCTTTAGCTCAAACGACAAGGCCAAGCTCAGCTATATTTCTCAGGTTTAGCTGACTCCCTGGCACAGCCGAAGAAGTGCTAAAAAGAAAAAGTACAAGACATTCATTTAAAAGTGCAAGCCCACTTAGAATAATAGCAGATTCTGTAAAGCAACTTATTCTAATACTGCCTTGAAGTGACAGCTTACAGAAGGTGAGAGTATGGACTAAAAGTGAATCTCAGATAAGGCATTAATGTTTCATGATGTCAGTGCAGGAGGAAACTAGCAGCCCCATCCCTAAACTATTGGAGTGAAGGGTTCCTGGCGGGCATTTTTGCAGCAAGTCTTCTGCGATGGAAAAAGCTACAACTTGTTAGTACAGTTCCAGTAAACAGAGTGCTGGCCTCACATAGCTAATTAGCTGTGGCCTCAGCTCGCCTGTGCTATGCAGTGACACTCTAATCAGAGATGATTGTCATCAGATATCACAGAAGTCTCTCTCACTGCTCAGCACAGGCAGATCCTGGCGCTGCTTAGAGAGAGAGGCGCCAGGAGCTGCTCCGAGACACCAGTTCTCTAAGTGCCTCAGCTGCAGGCTGCAGGCAGCTCATCACTCCTGCCTGCTGAGAGGAAGGAAACAGGGTGAGGCAAGCGGGGTATCCTACCTGTCAGGTGTTCCAGGAGGCAGTGATGCAATCAGTTTGAAAGGAGAGGTTTCAGAACAAAACCCTGTGACTGAAGCTACTCAGGACTTCCTTGAGCCACCTGGGATTTGTGGCAATGACAAATGCTAATTCTTTCAATTCATTACATTTTTAAATGGGGTATCTGAGAAGGCTAAAGGCACGGGCTTAAAGATTTATAAGCCGCAATCAAGGATGTGCTAAGGAAAATAAAGCAGCATGCCAAGAGGTGTGACTTGAGCCCTAAAGTGGGAACCTGATGACTCTAATCCTCAACCTTTCACTCCACCCCATAAATTTAGAAATTCTCTCCATTCTCTGGCCCCTCCTCCTACCATCCTTTCATTCCTCAGCAGCAATGGAATTCCTCTTGCTGGGGTTGCTGGCCACCGTCCTCTCGGAGGGGAGGGACTCTCAGCTGATTTGACTTCTTTCAGAAATGAAAATCACCACCCTCCCACCATGTTCAAACATCCACCTGTATCTCCCATACCTTCCCTGCTTCCCCAGCTGCTCCTGCATGGGCTCTGCCTGGGCTCTTCATCCAGCCCTCGGCGAGTGTCCCTTTCAGCTGCTGTCTCCTGTGCAGCCACATCCACTTACAGCTGCACTCACTGAGCACACTCCTGAGATGTGTAAGTCTTCCCCAGAGCACGCGCCCAAGTGCCTGGTGTTTAACTCCAAGTGTTTCCTGAACTAAATGTCCCACGGACATCTCCCGTGTAACTTGCCCCCAAACTATAAACTTGTCTGTCCTGTGTGCCAGGCCTATCTAGTCCTGAGGTGCTTTTCAACCAGGTCCATGGGCAAACTTGCCAACTCAGTGACAACCCTTTCTCTACTTGGGTTTCCTGAGTTGCAAACTGGAACCCACCAAGATCCCTGCTTCCTAGAGCCAGGCTCTCAGAAAGCCTGTTAATGCCTTCCATCTTCACATCTCTGAACTCACTTCTTCCACTCCATTTTCTCTGCCTTTTGATCAAGGGCTTTTGCTATTTCCTTGCTAGGCTAATTCTTGGTTCAAAAACATTTCTCATCCTATAATCAGAGTGATTGTTCTAGAATGCAGATCTGATCCTCTTGTTCCCTTTCTTAAAACCCTGAACATATCTGTAGACTTTGATAAAATCCTGGTCTCAAGGCTCTTTCAGCTGGGCCCCAGCCTCCCTCTCGGAACTTGCTTGTAGCTCTCCGTCATGGCACATAGGAAGAAGATTCCCACTGCCCTGGTCTGGTCACACCGAAGTCTTTGCATATGCCTAAAATGCCCTTGCCTATTCAGCCAGATCCAGCTCAAAGCTCTTCTTTCCCAGGGTGCTTTTCTTGGCATTTCTCACCAAGGAAAGTTCTCCTTTTTAAGTGCACCCAGCATCACATTTTTATATTTTTACTGTAGATCTAATTACAACCCCATGAATGTTAACATATCTGTCTATTCTGTTGACTGGGAATTCTGGAAGGCAGGTAATGTTTGTGTGTGCAACCCTTCTCCTGGCCTAGTGCTCCTGCACAGTTGACCCTTAAACATTTATTATATGAATGAAAAACTAAATGCAAGGATAAATGGACAGATAAGCATGTACCATTGCACAAGGTCTAACAGAACAAAGACTAACATCTGGAAGATTTCTTTAGATTTTCACAAACTCAAAGACTAGGTCAGGATATGAGTGCAAATAGCAACATTAATGACAGTAGTACCAATAACCACCATTCATTAGCCACTTTGTGCCAAACAGCATGTCAAAGTTACCCAAATTATACCACTCAATCCATACAAATCTTATAATGTTATGTTTTACAGATGAGAAGATCAGCCCCAAGGATGAGGATATGAACCCAAGAATACCTGTTGTATTGCAAAGTCACATAGCTGCATTGCACAGGTATGAGCTGGGGGTTCAGCACTTGGCAACTTAGGCCAAGGTAGACTTGAAAAACAGGACTAAAGAACATCTTTATGGTTAAAAATAAGATGGAAACTGGATGCGGTAGTGTCAGCAGAGGATGAGGATCACTTGAGCCTAGGAGATCAAGTCCACCCTGGGCAACAGAGTGAGATCCCCATCTTAGTCCTGGCCCCATAAATGGATCCCTTAGAGATAGGTGCCCCAACTGCAACCCCAACCCACTAATATACGAAGTGAAAAGTGCTAACACTGCAATTAAACCTGAACACTAAGGTTTTAATTTAGAAGAAAGCAACTCGTACAGTAACATGTTTTGTCTTAAAGAAAAGAAAACAAAACAAAACCAAATAACACAAGTGTCATAGGTTCGCCACCACTGCCTTATGGCCTTGCAAAATGCAGACTTTCATTTATAAGTGGGGCTCAGGAAGGGGTCAAATTTGAAAAAGCATTTAGACTGCTGATGAAGAATGGAATGCTTGCCCTGAAAGTTCAGCAAAAACGTGGCCAGAACACTTGGCTTGCAAATAAACATTTTCACAACCCACTTATTATTTGTTAGATGTGATGCTTTTCACCAAATTAGTTGAATAATTGCACCTCTGGTCATTGTGGTGCTGAGAGGACAGCCTCAGTGGTGCACAGAATAAAGAATGTGTCAGAGCTAGTGGGAATGTGGGAGAGTTGCTTGAATTTAAAACTTCTAAATGCTTGTAAATAATATTGAAAGGCTGTTTTCCAACATTTAATTGGGTGAAATATAAGGCCCCTTTCATTTAACAAAATTTTTCTTCCCATGCGGAGGAAGTGCAGGAAAAAATATGTCTTTGGCTTTGGCAATGAAAACATAAAGTTCTTGTATCTCCTCTCCTGCCCCCACCCCAATCCCTTTTCCAGTAAGTTTACTACGGTCTTTTAGGCTCTAGTTTGGACTTTGTTTTGTCAAGTTTCTGGAGCTATAAAGAATACAAAACTACCTAGCAACTGAGATAGATACTGACTCATAATTTGAACCATTTTGCTAGGTTCTTCAAAAAAGAATGATCTTAAAAAGCCACATTTTCTTACAAGTATAATGAGGCCCATGGAAGACCTGGTTTGAGTGTGAATTCATAAGTTGAATCAAAACATAATCTCTTATTTTTATGGGGGAGCATTTTTTTCAGCTCTGTGGTCAGTGTGCTAGAAAAACAAAGCTAAGTATGTATAGACAAGAAAATAAGAATAAGTAAAATAGGGCAGGGGATTTAGCTCAGCTGCACCACACCTGCCTCCCAAGTGCGAGGTGCTGAGTTCAATCCCTGGTACTGGGGGAAAAAGAATAAGTAAAATAACGTAAATGTTCAAGTGCCAGTTTACATTTATATATAATTATATAGAGTACTACTTAATCACCATAATCTGTATTTGTGATGTCTTGCAATTTGAAAAGTGCTTTCATTCATATTTATCTACAGCAATGACCAAACATATAAGGTAGGCAGATTAAATACGTTTATCCCCAATCAAGAGAAAAGGTGCAGTGACTTTCTCATGAAACAAGTAGATTTCCTGAAGCCTAGTGCTTTTTGTCTCCCCTGTAGCCACACAGCCCTAAACATGCATGTGCCTGAGTGGGTTGAAATCTGTGCTTGGAAAGCAGATTCAAGTTTAATTCCACAGCCGGTTAAAATAGTAAGCAAATTTAAGATTGTGCAAAAGTTGCATTTCTGGTCCCAAAGCCTGATTTAATAAAAGCAAATCAGCCTTGACTATTAGCTAAGTAAATGAAAGTGTTAATTAAGCTCAGCTCCCTGGTCAGAAATAAAAGCCTGTAAATCTCGAACATACCTGAGGAATGTGAGCAGACAACTGCGAATTTGTATATGAGGGTATAGTTACAGTCGTTCTTGTTTCCCTGGCACCTAGCCCAGGGACAGCAAGATTGCAAGCCTTTAATAAAAGTGAAAAGGCGAAAAGGAGTGAATGAAAACCAAGAAGAGGGAATACAGGGAAGACTGAATAAACTTCATTCACTAATTGGCTATATTGAAGGTGAACGTTAACTAAGGCACAATTTGGAGAGTGGCCAATTTGTTCTTCCTGCCTTGGCTGTTAGCTTCCTGCCTTTCATTAGGTATTAATACATATACCACAAACATTCATAGGTAAGGCAACAGTTCTGTATGCACCCACATCATCAGCACACACGTGCATGCAAACATGCATACATGGTCAAATTGAGCTTTCTACATTACACACAGGGCCAGAACAAAGATAAGATCAAACGGGAAGGAGAAAAAACTGCAAATGTGGAAGATGTAAGCAGAAAATATTTCTGGTAAGCGTTATATTTCTTTAGATTATTAAGATGCTGAAAGTAATATATATATATATATATATACACAAGTAAAGTTTCTATAAACTTAGAAAGTGTAGAGAAGAAGCTATATTGCAAAAATGAGGTTAAACATATTCACTGAAATTTAAAAGCTGCTCAAAGTAAAGGACTTTCTAAAAATCAGAACAGAAAAGAAGAAAGCCCAACTTCTGAGGATGCTGGCCAAATTATCTGTTTCCAACAGAGAAATCCACCTTAAGAAAGGTCCAGAGAGCTCAATAGAAACCAAATACAGTAAAAGGAAGTTGGGAGTGTGGGTGTCAGGCTGTCAGTAATCTGACAGCTATGGTAACTACCCTCTAATCCAGCCAGCTCAAGCCACGCTCTCAGCTGACACCACCAGGACTGACTGACAGCTGAGGAGCAGGCACTTTTTACAGGCTCAAGTGACATCCAGTCTATTAAGGCTGACAAGCACAAAGCAGAGATTTGCCCTGAATGGTTTGGTACTGAAGTCTAGTAAAGGGGTTATTTGAAAGGTCTTAGAGAAAGTGTCAGACTCCAGCTCAGATGATAACAATATTGTAATGATGGTACTGGACAATGAAGTGTGATGATTGCCCATCCCGGCCCGGAAGACTGTAGGCGAATGGTAACTTGGAGAAGGAGCGCACAGACACAGATTCTCCAAGGCTATGTGCAGTTGTTCAAGGGATTTCCTTTGGCGGTGTGTTTGCTTGGGCCTGGGTGGGGAGAGCTGCCCAAAGTTGCACATTAGCTGTGGCACCTGCATGGGGGCTGGAGGTGGCAGTAAGCAAGGATGTAGGACTGGATACGAGTACAAGACACCTGAAAGGAATGTTTGCTTGCCTTTGGTTCACTCTTCAAGTCATCAAGAAATATTAAAAGTAGGAAAACAAAAGAAATATGAAAAATATTTTCTAGAATAACAAAAACAGCAATTTTCAGACTACTGCTTTTCTTATTATCTCTGGTTGAAAGGTAGAATCAGTGACTGCAATGATATGACTATGCTTATCATTATTTTTGTTCTTGACTGCAGACACTGTCATCACCAATACCCAGAGTTTATTCCGCAGTATTTCACCCCTGACAACAATAAATTTTTTTTTCCCAAGTGCTTTCTCAGAGTTCTTTTAATGAAACCAAAAAGAGCAGGCATCATTGTCCTGGTTTATTAATAGGAAAATGGCTCACAGTGTTGCTATGCTCTCCCATTTAGGTTAGGCATATCCTATGTGCATATTTATTTTGAGTCCATTTGTTCATTTATTTGATACATATTTTGTGTTACTATAAGACAGAAACTTGGGTAGGTCTTGGGAATACCACAGAGCAAGGGAGTGTAGCTCCCATCCACAGAGTGACTAGGATCCAGGCCTGGAGGCTGACATTTATCTGACAGCATGCCAGTTATTAATATATTGTTATACTTTCATATTGATGATTAGCTGCTGTTCACCCCATGACTCCTTCAAGTTCTCCATCATCCAGCAACAATGAGTGAGGGCCTGGTATAGCAGGTCCCTCTCTCAGGATTGTGTCCACGATGCATTCTGAATAGTCACGCTGATTTTCATGTCTACCAGTTGAGAAAGAGTTTAAATCCCAACACTAGTGAAGCTCAAAATTTTCAAATTTATGAAAAAATTTCAAACGCCTTCCAGATTCCTAAGTTCATACTTTCAAAATTCTTCTTAAAAATATTACTTTTAAGTTTCCCATCTAAGACTAGGAAATAAGGTAGGAGGATAGAAACAGGTAGATGAGATCTGGGTCAACTCTTCTTTATGGATGTATCTGATATGGCATTCATATTACTGTGGGACAGAAGCACTGAGCCCAGAGTATCAAATCAGGTTCTGGAGAACCAAATGAAGGTGACAGAGAGGAATACACACCTAAAATGAGCAAGAGACACAGGGGAAGATAAAGGCAAAAAGACAAAAGGACCTAAACTCATTACAGAACACATGAAGATCTGTAAACCAGTTAAGAAAGTAAACATCAAAATTCACTGTTTCCAACTCAATGGCAGCCTTGAAAATCAATAGATGGCAATCAAGGTGAAAACCATTAGCCTGGCAGCCACTGGAATGTGCACAATGGAACTAGACCCTCTTCAAAGACCCATCCCATTGTATAATCATTGTCTGACCTTCTTGGTGATAGCCTAGAAAACCAGATTTATAAGGCTGTCTTCCTTTGACCCAAATCAGAGCTTGCTCAATACAAAAAGTCTTTTCCCTGGAGATGATTATTGAAGATAGTTATAGAAATTTTTAGCTTCTTGACTGCTTGAGGCAGTGGATTATACTTAGAATTAGTGTAAACAATAGACTAACCAAAAAGTTTAAAAGGATAAACTGGGAAATGAAGTGTCAGTAGGGGGTTTTAAATGTTCCAGTACATTCCTGGGTATCCAGAAGTCTATGTATGTATGTAGGACTGTGCACATACTCAGGAATGACCTGAGAATACCCTTGCCTCATATCTGGCAGCCTATAAGGATCTGCAAAACAAGGGAGTGAAGATTAAGGCACGATTGGTCAGTTGCCTAGTTTTGTGTCGAAGTTATGCTAACGAACTTTCAGCCCTTGGCAAACACTAGGAGGTTTATTGTTCTACAAATTTAAGAAAATATATCCAATAATTAACTCACTACAGAGTAAATCAAGCAGAGATTTCAATGACCTCTTATGACAATACAGACTACAGAATTAGTTCAGATGTTCCTAAACATAACAACCACAATAATAAGCAATATCAACAGACCTGGCATAGAAGGGAAAATCTGATTCATAGAGGTACTACTATGTAGTTGAGACTGACCTGGAACTTACTATGTAGTCCAGGCTGGTCTCGAACTCACAGCGATCTGCCTGCCTCTGCCTCCCGAGTGCTGGGACTACAGGCGTGCGCCACCACGCCCAGCTTAGAGCTACTACATTTTTGTATTTACAATGTTCGGTATCCAATTAAAAATTGTAAGACACATGAAGAATAAAAAAGTATGGTCATATACAGAAAAAAAGAAAATAAAACCAAAAACCAAATCAATAGATGCTGTCTCTGAGGAAATACAGGTATGGGATTTACTAAATAAAAACTTTAAATCAAATATTTTAAATATTTTAAGTAAATTAAGAAATTATGTCTAAAGAACTAAAGGAAAATATAAGAACAATGCCCACCAGATATAAAATATTGATTAAAAAATAGAAATTTTAAAAGGTACAAAACAAAAAACACTAACTGAAATGTAAAATTCACTAGAAGTACTCAAGATCATATCTGAGCAAACAGAAAAATAAAATAATCAGCAAACTTAAAAATAGAGTCAATAGAGATTAGTTGGTCTAAAGAATAGAAAGAAAAATAAATACAGTCTCAGCGTTCTGTGGAAAATCACCAAGAACAGAAATGTACACATTAGTGTCCCAGAGGAGATAGAGAAAAATAAGAAGGAATATATGAGCAAGTAATACCAAAACACTCCCCAAACTTGATGAAAAACATTAATCTATTCATATAAGAAGTTCAATGAAATGAAACTAGGATAAACTTTAAAAATTCATACATCGGGACAGGGATTTGGTTCAGTGGTTCCACCGCCAGCCTTGCAAGTGCAAGGACCGAGTTTGATTATAAAAAAAAAAAAAAAAAAAAAAAAAAAAAAAAAAATTCATGCATGGACACATTATAATCAAATTGTTAAAAAGAACAAACAAAGACAATCTTAAAAACAGCAAAAGAGAAGTAATTCATCATGTCCAAGGGATCATCCATAGGATCAACAAATAATTCCTCATCAGAAACCATGGAATCCAGAAAAAAGTGGCATTGCATATGCAATGGTGAAGAAAAGAAGCTGTCAGTCAAGAATTTCATATCCAATAAATTTATTCTTTAAAATGAAGGAGATAATGATAATTTAACTTCTTCCTTTCCTATCTTTATTTCTTTTTCTTGTCTGATTGCTCTGGTTAATGTTTCCAGAACTATGTTGAATAGTAGTAATAGTAGACATCCTTATCTTGTTCTTTTTTAATTAATTACTTTTATTGGTATATTTAAGGTATACAATATAATGACATTCATCATTGGAAATTTGCACCTTTACATGATCCATTCTGGTTCTTATTTTCCCCCATTCCCTGCCCTTCAGCCCCTCTATCCCTTCCTATCTACAAAGACTTTGTTTCCATTTTTTTCTTCTTCTCATATTAATTCCATTCCCCTCTTGTACTTGATTTTAGAGGGAAAGCTTTCTGCTTTTGACCATTTAGTATGAAGTTGGCTGTTGGTTAGTCATAGATGGCCTTTATCACATTGAGATAAAGACAAGCTATTCCAATTTTCTGCAGGGTTTTTGTCATGAATGGGTGCTGGACTTTGTCAGATGCTTTTTCTGCATATATTGAGATGATTGCATGATTTTTGTCTTTGGCTTTGTTTATATGTATTACATTTATTGGCTTGCATATGTTGAACCATCCCTGCATCCCTGGGATAAATCCTATGTGGTCTACCATTGGTGGGAGTGTGGACTAGTGTAACTACTGTGGAAATCAGAGTGAAGAGCCCTCAGAAAACTAGGATTAGAGGCCCACTTGACCCAGCTATTCCCCTTCTCGGTGTCTTCCCAAAAGAATTAAAAGCAACATACCACAGTGATATATGCACATCCATATTTATAGCAGCACAATTTGTAATAGCTAAATCTTGGAAACAACCCAAATTCCCATCAACTGATGAATGAATAAAAAAGATGTGTTCTTTATATAATGGAGTACTATTCAGCCATAAAGAAGGATAAATTTGAGACATTTCTAGGTAAATGGACCCACCTTGAGAACATACTCTATCAATTGAACACATGTGTAAATATTGCATTATCTCTCTGGTGTGAGAAACTGAGAGTATAAATAAGGACCAAAAAGAATAATAAATATTG